GGGTACAGGGACGATGGTGGCCATTTTGAAGCAGGCTGGGACTACAGACAGAGAGAGGGAGAGGTTGAAGATGTGTGTAAAAACTCCAGCCAGCTGAGCTGCGCATGACTTAAGGACTCCGCCGGGAATCCCGTCCGGACCAGTAGCTTTGCGTGCGTTCACCTTCCTGAAGCACTTCCGCACATCCTCCTCAGACACAGTGTGCGCACTGACATCATCCGCGGTGCGCACACTGTCCGGTCTCATGGTGTTCGCTGTGTCGAATCTAACGTTTAGATCCTCACACAGACAGGTCGTAGTCTGCAGTGTGCTGGTTTTCCCTCTAAAGTCTGTGATTGTGTTTAGTCCCTGCCACATACTCCGAGGGTTGTCAAACTAACTGTTCCTCCACACTGTCCCTGTACTCACGTTTGGCTGCTTTGATCGTCTTCCGGAGTTGGAAATGTGCGTGTTTGTAGCCCGATGTGTTCAAGGAGGCAAAAGCGGTGCTCCGTGCCGCCAGTGCCGTGCAAACATCTCTGTTAATCCAGGGTTTTTGATTTGGGAAGGATTTAACTGTTCTGGATGGGACAACATCTTCCACGCATTTCCTGATGAATCCGCAGACTGAGTCTGTGTATTCATCAATGTCCCTAGCAGCCACGTGAGACATTTCCCAGTCCGCGTGATCAAAACAGTCCCGCAGCGTAGACTCTGACGTAAAGTAAAACCAATATTAAAGATGAATGGGAAACCTGACCGAACTCTGTTTATTTTGAATTCATAAAGGCAGCCTATACACCTTTGACGAATGCTGCGCCTAACACCATTTATTCCTTTCAACCTGAAATGACTTCAGAATGCTCCAGGTGGTGGACATGCTGTAAAGATTTCTGAGTTACCAGAGATTCAAGAGTATGACAATGTCTTTGTTTTAACTGCAATTTAGGGAGCAATTCCAGATAAGGAATTAGTGATGGCAGAATAACTGTTAAGTTTGTGTGCAGGTTGAAGGAACTCTGCATAACCCCAAAGCACTGACGAAAGCAACTATAAGGAGATTTTTGGTGCAGTACCTCTTTGTGACCAATTTCATCAGTAACCTACCAGCACAAGCAACCTACCTCAAACCCTCACCACAACTCCTAACCATACACAATTTCACCTAGCAACTGGTGGTTACCAGGGGGTCATTGATATTTCCAGATATTTCCAAAGTGGAATTAAGTACGTTGGATTCATTGTGCAAATCTGAAGGATCAAAGTCATCAACAATTTTCCATTTTTCTACAAAGTAGATGGTACATCTTATATCAATAACCAAAAACTCACAAAACAACTAAAACGGTCTCACTCTCTCATCTCTTGAACAAATCTCTCAGTTTAAAATAAGACTTTACTGATCATGGATAACAAACAAAACACAACAAAAAGAATTCCTGTGTTCAATCAAGAGTTCAAACTACACATTGTATTGCTGTAGGAACATAGAAATCTGAGCAACAATCACCAAAACAAGAAAAAGGTTGAGTTGCATCCTCCATCCACCCATTCTCTTCTGCTAATCCAAATCAGGGTAATGCCTGTATGCGTGAGATATGTACCCCACTGGGATCCTGAAGCATGTCCCAGTGGGAATATGTACACCCCTGAACAAATCACCAGCCTGTCACTGGTCTAACACAGAGAGACAGACAAAACATTCTCACTCAAATTCACGGTTATGGAAAATTTAGAGTCACCAATTAAGATAACTCTACTAACTGCTTGTTTTTGGCCTGTGGGAGGAAGCCAGAGTACCCACGCAGACACTGGGAGAACATGCACACTCCACACAGAAATGACCCGGCCAGCTGGTGAATTTGTCCCAGGACATTCTTGTTTTGAGGGAACAGTGCTAACCACCATGAAAACACCAGAAAAACTGCAAACAACCAAAACAAAAAACTAACTGAACTGCAGTTTGCTCTATACTGTCAAACTAACGTTATGGGTAACACTTTATAACACGACCCAAAAATGGGGCACAAGTACTCTGTGCTTACATGCATTTTGCGAGAACTAGTCAGGTTTTTGCAGGAAACAATGAAACAAGTACACAGTAAGTATCACGCACTTTCTGGGATGCAAGCTATATTATGGAGTCACCTGCAAGACCAGTGAAACAATGAAAAAATTCCACTGTAGCACCCACAACTAAGGCACAAGTAGTCTGTAATTACATATAATTTGGTGTAACAAGTTTTGTAGAGGAAACAATAAAATAATAACATATAATTAAACTAAGTAATTTTAAATACTGGGTTATTTCATGGTAAATTTCTGGAAAAACATATTTCCCCATCTTACATCCTATGTACCCTGTACTTCCCTGGAAATTGCATGCAAGTTCAGGGTACTTGCACCATAGTCATTCCATAACACGACCTGCGCCCCAGAAAGTGCAGGGAACTTACAGTGTGCTTCTTTCATAGTTTCCTGCAAAAACCTGACTTGTTGCCTGCAAATTACACATAAGTGCAGGGTACTTATACTTTAGTCACTCCATAAAACGACCCGCACCCCAGAAAGTACAGCGAACTTATAGTGTACTTGTTCCATTGTTTCCGTTGGTTCCGTGGTTGTGTTATAAAGTGTTACGTGGCAATCTCCAGGCCCGTGGGCTCAATTGTGTTTGAATTATTATCCAAGGGTTAAGCAAATCTGAGCTATCTCAGAATGAATAGAAAAGAAAATCTCTGCTCAAGACAGACAATTTCTAAAGCGGTGGGAGATTGAATACTTTAAACACTGCCCAGTGTGTCTCATTTGCTATTAGACCTTTCTGAATTTGATGGTGTGCCATGTTCACAGGTTTGCAGTCTAAGCAGATTCTATAAAGCAAAGAAGAACTCGCCATGTGAGAGAAAATCTGTTATGCGACAGGCTTTTATGTTTCCCAATTTACTGCACATAGATGCAATACACAACATGATTATGCATGATGCCGTGAAAGCTTTGAATGTGAAAGCAGTTTCCAGGAATGCCAAATGCAATGTCAAAAACTTTACTCAGCTTCCATTTTGTCAGCCTGTGGCAAATGTGCACACCATCCCAACTCTCCCCTCAAGGTTGAGGAATTCAATTTTTAAATTTTTTACACATTCATTTGCAGTTGATGTGTAGAGTCTGCAAGCGTACTGACAGGAAGAGCTGAATGAATTACATTTCAGAGCCAGAGCCTTCTTCTTTCATCCCCCTGCATGATGCCACAGCTCTTCCCGTGCAGAGACTACTTGTGGGAACAAATGTTTTCTGTGATAAGGATCAAAAGAATCTTTTTATAGGTCCAGCTGCAAAAGACAAAAACACCTTCTGAACAGGATTGCAAGGATAAATGCACTTGCAGTGAAAGAACGTGGTAAAAGTATAGCACCAAAATAAGAGCCAGTGTCACTAAGAATACCGACAAATACTGTAGATAACTTAAATGTTTTCTTAAATGAAAATAACTCAACAGCAACCAGAGAATCATCAATCTGTAATCAGTTTAAGAACCCATTTTAGGCTCTTTTACAGGTGTGGTATTTTATTTTGTGGGTCGACTAT